CATGTGCCTGTGAAACAGTGGGGCTGGCTGTTGCCCACACTTGACAGTGAGAAAACTGAGGGCCAAGTCAGGTACCGAGTGACTCTTTTTGCCTTACACAGTTAATAGAAGCTAAATCAGGGCTTAAGGTTAGTCTTTCATTCCCAGCACTGTGATATTTTCAATTGTTCATTTACATTGAGCCTATAAAGGTCACATCTGTGCTAGAGACCGACACCCAGGCTGGGTCCACTAACAGACACAGTCACAACGAGAAAGGTTTTAGAGTGGAGCGTGCCATTCCTTTGGAGTGGGCTGACCCTTCCTGGGTTCTAAACCCACATGCTGTGTTCTTCGGGGACCCCTAGAACTCTGCTTGGTGCCAAAGGCCCAACAACTGAGGAAAGCATCGTTTTACTTGATGTTTTTATTCACTTAATGGAAACATTCACTTATCAGATATCACTGAAATGCAATTTACAGAACTTAGAGGCAAATTAACATATGTAAATTCATATTTTAGATTTTGGATTTTTTTACAAATATTACAAATGTACATCCATTGGTACAATATTGCCATTCAAACATGCCTTTTATGTACAAACCTTCACTTAAGAATACTATTTAGTTCATTTTGCTTAAAAAATGCTGAAAATTAGCAGAAAGTTAACGGGGCACTGCTGAGAAAGTATATTTTTTCTTTTGTACTGATGCATACACTGCAGAATGATAGAAATCTAGTGCCTGTGTGAAAAGAGGCCCTAGAATCCAGGCCTTTTATCTTTATCTTAGAGCATATCGGGTCCCTCCAACTTGACTTTGACATGCTGAGTTGGGAAGAAAGGTATTTCTCTCTCCAGGGTTTGATACTGTCTGCAGTTACCTGCAGGAGTGGCATTGTCTGGTCTAAACTTTTAGTGATGTGGCCATCAATGTTCCTTTTGGTGGAAGGTCAGACCGAGTGGACATGTCCCAGGAGTCCAGAAAAGGCCTCTGGTAAACCCTCTGGACAAGAAGTCACATCAGGCTCCTGTCTAATCTTGAGCATCCAGCCGATTCACAGATCAGCGGAGTGAAGTTCAGGGCAGACGTATGCCTGAGACTGGAGTCTCAGGGAGTCGGAGGTTTAAGCCAGAGGACAGGCAATAAAAAAGGGAACAGGAAGGGAAGGGCGAGGAAAACATGAGAAGGAGAACCAGAGAGGCAGCATGGGTGGGAGAGAAAGCAGACGGCGGTGGTGGTGGCCACATATCTGCCTGGATTCCCAGAACCATGAGGTGCTGCATTTGCTTTCCAAGGCCATTGACCTGCAGCCTACACCTCTGGTCTCCCAGTGTCTGCCTCTTCAGTTCCCCGTCCTTTATACGGTTTAGAATTTGTGGAAGAAGTTTGACAGGAACTGCAGTGCTCCAGGCTGCAATGGACCAGAGCCACGGACAGTGGCAGGTACAAGCGCGCTCCCGTTTTGTCCGTCCCACTGTCTGCTCTGTCCCCACACCACCCCACGTGTCTCATCACTGTACCTGGAGAAGCAAAAAATGCCAGCAGGACCTCAGAAAGGTCTTATCCCAGCTGAATGCTGCCTGATGGTGGTACAGCTTTTCCTGAAACACAGCTTCTAATTTTTCCCTCCACCCGTGAACTCTACAAGAACTTGGAGCTGGGAATGTACAGCATGTGGACTCTCCTGTCCTGGGTGGATGACAGGCTCTGGGACCTCTGCCCAGGAGGCCGAGGCCGGGGCCGGGGCGGGGGGACCAGCACAAGTACATCAGGTTTGCTGAGTTCAGTGAGGCTTCCGCCAGGCGGCCATAGCAGTGAGTGCCAGGGCACACAAAGACTGTTCCCCTTTGGTCTCCACTAGAAAGCGATGTTCATTGTATATTGTGCCAATTGGGCAGATGATTTCATTAGAATGACTTCTTAAAAAGTGGTTGTAGAAGTTTTCCTAAATTAAAAATGTCTATTCAAGTTTTAAATGTCTTTTAAAATTTTTTAAACAAGAGATATAGACACATCTTAAAATTTATAATCTAAAAATAGGATTTCATCAAAATACTCTAACTCTTCTCTTCTGAGCCTTGACATACCATGTGTTTACTGTTTATGGCTCTCCAGGTGTGGCAAACTGTAAACCAAAGGGGAAAAAATTAACTATTGGCAAGAACAGTTTTCTGTAAAAAGGAAATTCATGGGAAAAATATGAGCTGTGTTTGTTTGAAAAGTAACACAACTGGATGTTTCTGAGTAATTAGACCCATCACAAAACCAGTGGTGGCAAGAAACATATATACAGGCTTAAAGAGAACCACAGGAATAAAATGAAACCATAGTTACAGACCTGCAAATCCTTTCCTTGGCAAAAGCAAAAACCAAAGAAAACCTAAGTCCAATAACACGCTGTCACATGTTGTGAAGCTGTGCTGGAGCTGGACTGGCAGAGCTCACCTGACCGCGTGACCTTCTGGCTGGCCGAGGCCCGTGAAAAGCCTGCAAGTGGTCAGACATCTACTTTTATGCTTAGAGTCATGCAGGAAAGCTTCCAGGGCTTATCTCCCCAACAGAAAAGCAACACATGCTTTGGAGGCAGATAAGGATGGTGTTGATTTTATCTGGAGTTTAGTATTAGGGCTAAGGAGATATAAATAGAGACCATGGGAAGGTTGAGAACAAAGGACTTGAGCCATCTGTTGGTACAGGATGGTGATTCTGAGGCAAATTCAGATGGGCAGTGGGGGAGTCGGGGTAACTTGGATGCCTAGGGAGCCCTTTGACGTTACGCCTGCCAGTCTCCCCTTTGTTTCGCCCATCACATTTTCAGGATGACTACAAGTTACACATCATCTACTTCTGTTTTGTCCTCCTTATGGAAACCCTGGGTGGTCAGGTGGATGTGGGCCACTCTCAAGATGCTAATTCATCAGATTTCCTATTTTAAAAATGCAGGGTAGACCTGGCCTAATGCAGTGTTGAGACATCCTTTTGGACTTTGAAGCAGGGAGAAAAATCCTCAGGCTTCTCCTACTAAACCTCGTGTCTCTGGGCTGATGGCTCGTCCCTCCAGCCACACCAGATGCTTTTTGTGTTGAATTCTGAGCCTGGGCTCTCAGCCGCATGAGCCTTCTGGTCAGCTCAGCTCTCTTTTGGCCTCCCCTTCTGTGCCCACAGCCTGTGAGTGTCTCCTCCTCCCCCCGCTCCTCTATTTCCTGCTCACCAGACAGGTGCCCCTGTGACAGAGTGCCAGGCTCTTGGACAGCTTCCTGCTACACTGGAACCTTCTCTCGCTATAAACCTTCTCTGCAGAGCCTAGTCTCTCCTCCCAAAGAGTCTCTGCTGACTTAGCAGACTAATCCATGCATTGGTGCTAATGGGTATAGTGCCTTTCTCCAGAAGCAGACATTTATATCTTAGTGAAGTTTGGGTGGTTTCCAGAGAGGCAAGACCTTAGACAAAATGTCTTGTCACTAGAAAGATGCAGTTCAGGAGCCGTGGGTGTGTTCATTGTGGGCTAGGAGGGTGCCATGCAGGTCCCCAGAATCAGACTGTACTGGTGGCCCACTGTGCCCCTTTGAACATCAGTCGGTCCCGCATCTCCCCCTGAGATGGTCAAGACTGCTGCCACCAGTGCTCGTTTCTCCTGCAGAGGGAGTGTTATTCCAAGCGGTTGATGTAAAACGTGTACACACTTCTCCAGCCAGCAGCTCAGAATGCTAGCATGCTCAGGTTCGGATCACAGACTCCAGCCAGCAATCGCCCGTGCCTGCTGCGTTCGGAGGTGGGCTCCAGATGTTGGCGGTCGAGAGCCTAAGTCATAAATCAGCCCTCAGGTGTTTTGCTTCTCTAAGTCCCATCCTAATGACACTTCAGATGATCAAAAACTAATATAAACTGGCCATTTTATCATGGCTTTTGTCTGAATGAAGATTTTATTTTATTTCAATGTTTATAAAATATTAATGTTGAATCTTATTTGCAAAACATTTTCATATCTTTTGAAACTTTATTGTGAAGAAGTGGTCTGCTACAGTGCCATTTTCCTTTCTAAAAGAACTTGAAGGATAAATTTGACCTAATATGCAATCCCAGGAAAAGCTTCTATTTCCATACTAATGTCTCTATTTATTATTTTATAACAAATATCTACAATTCGTTTCATTTTTTGCCTCATTGGTGTGATATCTGTAATTTGTACCTGAATATATACAGCCTGATGTTGTGCTCGTGTTTCCTGGGCGGGGTGGAATCCTGTGCTCCAGGATGGACCCCCAGGGGGTCAGTGGGGATTCTAACCAGGGCCCAGACCAGAGCTGGCTACTACTAAGCTTTTCTACTTAGCACGATAAATTCAGATATGTAGCTTGTAATTGGAGAAATTAGAGACCTGTTAATTAGCATGAAGGGTTTTAGAAATGAGTTCTCAAGTGATCAAAATAAAAGTTCAAGGTGTATGGACCAACTGCAGGTATGTTAGAGGGGCACCTCACTTTGCGTGAACAGAGTTATGGTCCCACCCCTCAGTCTGAGCATGGTGCCCTGGGCTGAACCCCAAGTGGTTCTGTGTCCAGTTCTGAGCAGGAGGATTCTGTTGTCTGATGCCTGAAGGGGACAGAATCCTGCCTCCTGCATTTTAGCTGCTTTAAGTGAATTTTTTCTGACATGCAAGGTGTTGATGGGAACCTAAAGGAGCAGAGAGCTGGTGGGTGCTCAAGCTCAGAGTCAAGGTTGTTTTGTATGTATTTATTGCTTGCTCTCTAAGAACAATTTAGTTCCTAAGTAAGAATTTGGCCTAGGATGGGGTTTCCTCATCACCAGGTGGGAGGTTGTGGAGTGGCAGCTCCTCCTATACAGCTCAAACTTCATTATCTGCTAGAGACACTGAGCTGTGATGGACAAAACAGGCACAGGACAGCCTGGGACACTCAGTTATTGGGAAGTTTAGGGTCACATCTAGTACCTTTGCTTTGCAGCAATGGTCTCATTTCTCTGGTCCTGTTTTGGGGGGTCTTTAAGATTGTGCACCCCAAATGCTCTTCGAAAGGAGATGGAGTAAAACACTAAATGAATAATGAAAATGAGAAGGTGTTCTTATTGGCTTCTTTGGGGAGGAGCCCATGGCTTTTTTCTTCACTGTGGCTTATCTTGAAGTATCTGTAATCTTGTGCTAGTGAGAACCAAGTGCAACGCTCGAGAGGCGTGTGGGGGGAGGGAAACATAGGAGACGGTGCCTGAGGTTTATTTCTAACTGGCAATGCCTCAGTACCACCTTTCAAGGCTGCAACTCAGACCCTCCAGCCTGAAGAGATGCGCTCCCTCTGACACCTTGAGAACAGGGAACCACTGCATTGGTGCCTGTGGGTGTGGCGGGCATGCGTGGTTCCAGCAACCTGGGAGTAGCCATTTGAGAAGCAGCATGTTCCTAGTTCAAGTCTAGCTGCTCATCCGAACATTGCACGCTCATGTATTTCTGGAACACCAAAGGAAAATGAATGCACAGACCCGATCAGCACAGTCTTGTTGCTCCTCACGCCTGCCTGGCCTTCTCAGGCATCTCGCTGTGTCCGAGAGCCTGGGGCGGGGACTCATAGAGTGAGTAGGAACTGGTCCTGCTCAGGTGGCTTCCTCACCCAGGTGCCCAGGCCTGCCTTTTGAAATGCTTTAAACAGCTGCTGCTTAACTGACTGGTAGGTGTGTGCCGCCAGCTTGGCTTCACAGTACATGGATGGCGCGTCTCCGTGGCTTGGTATCCGTGTGCTCAGCTGTGGGACAGGAGTGAGAAAGGACAAATGAGCCGCAGGCAGAGGTGAGTCCCCCACCCCCCCACAGGGAACAGTAGAGCTGCATGAGCGTTACAAGCAAACATTAGCTCCTGGTTCCACTTTTTGTTTTTCCTCTAAAACAGAAAAGCAATGTGATAAAGAGCAAGGTTACACTTGAAATTTGCTAAGAGGGTTGACCTTAGATTAAGTGTTCTCACTGCACACACTCACATGCACACTCACTAGTAGTAACTATGTGGAATTGATGAGTGTGTTAGCTCCACTGTGGTAGTCATTTCACATATATCTGCATGAAAGCATCGAGTTGTACACCTTAAATACACAGGGTGGGGCAAAAGTAGGTTTGCTGTTTATATGGAAACAATACAATAATTAATAAGTAATAATACAAGAATAAACTGTTTCATGTACTCACAACTGTAAACCTACTTTTGCCCACCCTATAAGTAATGTTTATATGAATTTTACATCAATAAAGCCGTTAAAAATGGAATATCCATTTTCTCGCAATTGGCCTATTGATAAAGTAAAATATCACATAAAGTAACAAAAAAGATTAACTGTATCAGTTACTATCAGGCAATTCTGTAATTCCATGGAAAACCCATTTATTAGGGAAACTGCATCACCAGAGTGTGAATGATTAAGGAATAAAATAAACATGTCTCTTGTCTGCTATTAAAATAACAAGCACTGTGTATATTTTTCTTTTTATACACAGTAAAGGAAGGTGAGGGGCCAGACTGGTGGGGATGGTGCTGCCAGGGATGGCGTGGGAACTAATGCAGTGTGGTGGGGGCGGGACCAGGAGGGTTCTGTGCTAACCAGCAGGAGGACAATGCAACTGGGAAGTTCCCTCTGTCCAGAGCTGTGCCAGGCAAAGCGGTGCAGCCAACACAGGCAGGGACCGAACAGGGCCCGACTACCCTGCACAGCCGGCAGGTCAGGGTGTGGCAGGGAGGGCCAGAGGTCGGAAGTCCCCCAATCCCACTGCAAGGTCCCCAACTGCTACCATCACCTGGAGCTTGTGCAGAAGAAGAGGCCCCTTTGTTTAGCAAGATAAAGTTGATGGTGTGCTCTAACCTTCCAGAGTCTCAACATGGACCCACCCACGTGTAGCAGAGAAGCATGCAAGGTTCCCAGAGCAGGCAGGAAAGGAGCCGAAGCTGCCTGATCAGAGCAGATCGGGTTCCTGCACAGCCGTGGTGGCGCCAGGATCGCTGCCAGGCTAGGAGCTGAGATGTGCAGTTCCCAGTGTCCTTTGAGTGGACACAGTGTTTATTTTAGGCACCAGCAGGTCTATCCTGTTCTGCTGGCTGAGAAGTCAACCACAACACTTGTTTTCCCTGGTTAAGGAAGTGGGAAAACCAGCACAGCAGTTTTATTTATTTGTGTTTCTGTTTTCTTTCTTTCTTTTTCTTTTTTTTTTTTTTGGTTACAATCTGTTATGCTTTGGAAACACATGGAAATGCATATCTCATTTTAGAACCCAGAAATGTCATCATTACCCTATTTACAGGGGAGAAAGGAAGCCTCAAATCTGGTGCACTAGAAATGCATAGCCTTCATGGTTGGAGAGAAGAGTGAAAAATTCCTCCCTGACTTGCATAATTTGGGGTAATCACCTACCTTTTTTGAGTGTCAGTTTGCTTATCTCTAACTTGGGAATAACGTCAACTTAAAAAGCCTTCTGTGGACTTTCCTGTGGTGCCCTGGGCTGGACGCACTGGGTGTTACAAACAAGCCCCTTTTCCACCTCACTTCTATAGCCAGTGGTCTGGCTCAGGCTTGGTGGATGTCTATGGGTAGTTGGGGAAAAGAAAACAGACTGGGAACCAGGTTTTGTGTTACATGTCCCCCTGGCTGGAGACCCAATGGCATTCTCTGGGCCCCTGGCCTGTGTCCAGGTGGAAGCCCCAGGCTGGAATTGTTACTCACCTTTCCATACAGTCGCGCCCACCGGGCGGAGAGCATATGCTTGCAGAGCCGGGATGAGGCTCCGCAACTCCGCTTCCCATTGGTGGCATCCAGGACCTCCACGTCCGAGTTGCCCAAGACCCAGTTCACACTGAAGTGGGAAGACTTTCCGGGCTGGCGTGCCTCGGCGCTGCTCACGCCTGTCAGCACAGAAGTAGAAGCAGCCCATCAACACTCTGCAGACCCCACGAGAGGGGCCCCCATCACTCCCAGACTGCCTCAGGCAAGATGGGCGGAGGGAGCCAACCGCGTTGGCACAGGATGGCACAGCCGCAGGCCCCGGTTCGCACCTTTAACCCTTGGCTAGGTCATCGCTTCTCTTCAGCTTGACCCTAATGGAGGTCTCATCGTGACAGTCATTGCTGGAACTCATTTTTCACTTTTTAATTTAAAGAGATTATTAATGTAAGGCAGTCTAGTAATAAAAAAAGCTCTGCCCATTTCCCCTTCCTGTAAAGATTTGTTGATGGATAAATGAACAGAGGAGCCAGGTGGATGCTGCCTGAGCATTGGGTTCATTGGGTACCTATGGCTCGCCCTGCTCTGCTTGGTACCAGATGGGTCCCAAGGTTCCAAGTTGGGTCGACGAGATAAAGAAGCTAATGAAGGAAGACACTGATCCAGTGGCATGACCCAGAGACAGCACCCACTCCAAGGGTGTTAAACTCATTTTCACTGGGGGTCACATCAGCCTCATGGTTTCCTTCAAAGGGCCAAATGTAATTTCAACTCCTTAATAGCTAAGTAGTAGTTACATTTATATAGTCCTAAAATTATTTCAGCCCTTTGAAGGCAACTGCTAGGCTGATGTGGCCCCTGGTGAAAATGAGTTTGACACCCCTGAGCTCCACAATTTGTGAGACCCAGTGCAAATGAAAACGTGGGACCCTAGGTTTGATGACTAGTGAGAATTGCAGGATGACAAGACAGTGTAACACCAAGTGCGGCCCTTCTAAGCATGGTCCCTGTGCAGCTGGGGCTAGTCCTGCCCAGAAAGCCTCCAGAATCAGCAGGGAAGTCCTTCTTTCACAGTTTCTCCCCTGGTCAGAGTGTGCATAGATTTCTAATTGGGACAACATGTTCCTTATAGACACAGGTTCTTCCAGTAGCTCAGAAAATGGAAAGATCCGGTGCTCCTGCTCTGGGGTAGCACCCGTTGGCAGCCTAGGCATCACCACACTTGGTAGCATCTGACCTCAGCTCGGCCTCCTTCCTGTCCATTTCAAGAGGCTCATCATAAACTTTTGGAGACTCTGGTGGTGAGATGCCTGAACCAACGTGAGCCCTGATGTTACCTTGTCAGCCTTCCCCTCAGTGCCCTGAGGATTCTACAAACATGCTCTATTCTGGTGCCGTACAACCCTCCCAGCCATCCCCTCCCTGATGGGTCAGGTGCCCTTTGAGAGTGGGTGCCTGTGGGACAGAGCTGGTCATTTTCGCACATTGCACTTAAACTACCACATGACTACTTAGGGGTCACAGCAGAGTTGCCACAGTGCCTGAGAAGCCATGGTGTTGGGAAGCAAGGTCTGGGTGGTCCTCAGGGGGCCTGCAACAGGTACCCCATGAAGAAGCAACCCCTGTGTTCAGGGACAGCCAGTGCATGTGCAGTGCCTTCTGTGCAGCTCCAAACTGCCAAGTTACGGACCCCAGTGCCCTCCCATTGCCCCACCCTCCAGGGGCTTCTTGGGCAGATCTATGCCTACCCTCTGCCATCTGCCACCTGCACAGCCTGGTCATCATGGGCAGTGATGGGCTCCCAGGCTAATTCTACTCATGTCAGCTTCTTCCTTTTCCTTGAAGTGATTCTCTTGTGGCATCTACCTGTGCTGAGCTGGGAAGGGGGGCAGCCTGGCATGGTGGCAGCAGGGGCTGTCTTACTGGGCAGGAGGGGGCAGCAGCTGAGGTCAGGGAAGTCTGACTGCAAAGAGAGCTCAGCACTGCTCCAGAGCTGCAGCATGCAGCCAGGCACAGCCACCTCTAGGACCTGCACCACCTCCCCACCCTTTTCTTCTCCTCCTCTTCTCTTCCCACCTTTCCACCCAACCCTCCCCCTGCCCCTCTGTCTCCACAGAAGTCTCCATGACCAGAGGTGGGACATGTGGGCCTGCAGGAATCTAGAAACTTAGTTCCAGACCTGACTATGCCCCTCTGGCCCTTCGCCATTCTTTTCCTTACTGTGTCCTTGGACAGTGACAACTTCTTGTTGAAGGGTCACATTGGAGAACTTGTAAAGGTGTCCGGTGCTATGGTTATTGTTAGTTTCATTTGAAGGGGTGAAGGTCAACTTTGGTTTGTTTCATGGTCTCCACATTGTAGATCAAAAATGTTCTCAGACTACAGGAACTTTCTCAGTTTCGTTATCGTCAGGGATAGCTGCTTACTTAAATGGGCTTGGGTGGGGAGTGACTAACCCGCAAATATGGGTCAGAGTTCCTTTCACATAAAACATGTTTTGTTTCATTTGTCTGTTCTTCAGTGGATTCCTCTGTTGGAGACATTATCCACCATCTTACACTTTGACCTTCTAATTTAAGGATTATCTCTTTGTCTTTTGCTTGCAAGAAAAAAATCCCGAAAGTAACCTGGGAGAATGGCCAGGCTTCCTCCCTGCTCCTTGCCCCCTCGACCTTATATAGACAGCTCCTTGAATTCTTACTAAGTATTCATGCTAGTGGTATACTTTCTGATGTCACTGTCATTAGTGACTCATTGACTACACCCAAGGAGACCAACTCAGCTGTGCCAGACTCAGCTGACTCTAACAGGCACATTTGTCAATGTACAAGGAAACAATGATCTCAGAATGTTTGCACCGATACCCGAGTGGCTAGACCATGTGCAGGTGGAGGCAGTCTCGCTGCCGCAGAGACAGCAGCAGAGCTCTTTATTATCCAGACACCACCAGCATAGACCAAGCTGTCAATCTCCCCAAGAGGCACCAAGCTGACCTCTCTTACTCAGTCTCTCTCACTCTCCCTCTGTCTCTCTGTCTCCCTCCCTCCATCTCCATTAGCCTCTCTTATAAGGACACTTGTGATGGCATGGAGGACCCATGGACATAACCCAGGGTAACCTCATCTCAAAATCCTTAACTTCATCACATCTGCAGAGACCCTTTTTCCAGATAAGGTAATTCATAGGTTCCAGGGATTAAGATTTGATGTTTTGGGTGGCCATTATTCAGCCTACTACCAGCACTAATTTTGAATTTTGGAACTGGTCTATGAACCAAGTGAGGAAACCTTCTGGGGAAAGAGTAACCTGGCCCTTTGGTGCCACTTCTGGCAGAAGGACTGGATTTGGGGGTGAGAGGCTTTGCAGCTGCTCTGAGCCACCTCTGATCTCCCTTTTCTCTGAGCCTGTGACTGTGGCAGAAGCTCAGTGCGGCTCGCTCTCAGGGACAAATGCCTGGTGCGAGTGGTGGGAACTCAGAGCCCCAACCCGGCTCATGGTGCTGGCCTCAGTCAGCAAGGACTTCAGTTTGGAAACTTGGTGAGAAAGCCCAAGAAAGGGTGAGAGAATAAAGGTGTCCTGAAAGGTGGTGTAACTTGGTGAAGGACAGACTAACTGTCTTTCCTTTAGTGATTTCTTAGTAATTATTTACAGTATCTTGGAAAGAAACCTATCTGCTAAACAGTTTCTCTATCAGAGCAATAGCTCGTGGAGACAATGCTGATAAGAACCCGTGGAGACTGATGCAGACTCAGAGGTGTGCTGACCATTATTCTTTTGCATGGTCATGGGTGGGTTGCCCACTTTTTGCGGACATCGCAGAGAAGTATTTCACTGTGAAGTGTATCCATATGGGAGTAGGCAGGTCTCCATGAGCCTTTGACACACACACTCAGCTAGGTGGACTAATTCATGAGGATGGTCTGATGTTTCATTTAAGTGCACATGCCTGTGTTGATAAAGTGGGCTCTGCAAAGAGATCTCATTCAGATATCACTTCTGTGACTTGCTAACAGTGTGGCCTTTGATGAGTTAATTAACTCACCAACTACTGCAATTACCACCACTGTAACCTCACTTGCCACTATTGTCACCGTGACCTCCGCTACTCCCACCGTTATTGAAGAGCAGTGAATGTGAATCCACAATTCAACCATGAAAATGAGTCTTATCATAGCTCATGTAGCTATTTTCTCAAGGTAAAGATGCATTACCTTGAGAAAACCCTATATACCTCTTTTTAAAGCAGTATATAAGAGAGACATTACTGAATTTCTTTAAATAACTAGTGTGTCTACTGTATTTAAAATGTAATTCACGTTCCTCAAACTACATTTACACAAGACATTTAGGGATACAACCTTTGCACGAAGTGAGGCAAGTCTGTATTACAGGGTAGCACTGTGTTTAAGTTGTGAAATGAGTGAAGCAGCTTCCAGGTGTGCACAGAATCTCAAAGGTGCAGGACAGAAGGGACTACTTGACTTTTATATATAGCCAGGCACCTGTGGGGTCGCATGAGCACACATGCACAGGCACGTGCACACACACATGTACATACCACACACACGTGCACACATACTCAGGCATACCACACACACACCACACACCCTACATGCATGTAAATACCACACAAATACCACACACAGACACACCACACATATTCTCGCACATATAAGACATGCATGCACACACAAGCACACACAAGCATACCCACCCTATGCATGCACATGTGCATGCACGCACCACACATACACATGAACACATATGAATACATATACATACACCCCCCCCTCATTCACTGTACACACACTCTCTTCTGATGTAAGTAAGCTAGTAACACTCCATTATGGACTTATGGATTAACATAACTAAGTACTAAGGCTGTATTAATGTCTTTTTATTTGTTTTCATTAGCAGGGACACCATGATAACTGACAGTGATTTTGTAGCTGCTATCTTGTGTTAACAGAGCACATTCTAGGGAAAGTGTGCAGGATGCAGCTGATTCTGAAGACTGTGCATGAGGAGAACGAACAGTGGATGTGAGCCCTTCCTGCTGAGACACTGGCGACAAGTCCTCGGGGTTCCTGCCAGCCCCAGGGGAGCACACAGTGTAAGAGAAAACTTGGCCTTTACAGGTTTCCCTTGCTTTCCCTCATCTACCAGTTGGTGAGCTGGTGGC